TCTATTTTATTTTTCTGTTTAAAAATGACACATGATAAATTTTGAATAAGAAGACGTGATGATACCATATCACTCTATAATTTCTCCATAAAATGTGTGCAAGAAGGTTTACTTTGGAAATTAATTTGGCCAATTTTCCTATAAATAGAAAGATGAGTATGTCACCAGACACCAGTAGCCTGAAATTGAGGGGCCGAAACCGAAAAAGTTGAGCCTCACGCAAATTGTGCAAGTGTGAGCCGTACACATGGTAAAGCCACCAACCATACACATTACGCATACCCAATAAAGGAAAATAAAGAGAAGGCTGTTTGAATGTAGCAAGAGCCAAGAGGCAAGGCTACACCTTCAAACCGAATTCCCTTTTGATGGGAACACATTTTTATATCCTAATAACCTAATAGAAAGGCGTGACCTAATCGATCTAAACGGCTACAAATGTGTTTCCATGAAATTGCCAAAAGTCCCACCTCAAGATGCATTTTGTCTAGACTCTCACTCACTACACTTCTTTTTTAAAGTGCATTGGGATAAGATCAAATCCATTACATATTTAAAATCCAATGGTGCATCGGATAAGAACAAATTCATCATAAATTCAACAAGCTGAATGTTTTGTCTAACTCTAACTGCGTCGGTTTTAGTTTCATCATAACTCTAATGATTTTTCTCTACGCTCAAATTTGATCTTATCTTATCATAAATTCAGCTTTTAAGTCACTTGAGCTAATCCAGACTTCTCGCCGCACCATTTTGCTATCAATCGGACATCTTATTTACGATGGTAAATTTAGAAACAAAAACGACCGTTAAGGAATTCATAATTTAAGTCAATTAGGGGTAAATAAAGTCATTACATGATTTAAATTTTACTTCGCATTCACAGCTGCATTGGATATGCAAGGATTAACTAAGATGAACCAATCCCGTCGGAGTAGAATGGGATTTGGGTCAAAACTTTCGACTTTCTTAGCATCATGGCCGGGGTAAAATGGGAATAAACTTTACAGTTAAAGTAGCAAAAAGGGCTAAAAATAGAAACTAAAATAGCCAAGAGTCAAGTAAATCTATCACACAAGCCACAGCTGCCAAGTACGTGGCCATCATGATGCTCTGCCTCTTTGGGTTTCTTCACAAACCCCTAATCCCCTACCTATATAAACAGAGTGGATGCGGAGACTAGAACTTGGGGTCTTGGGGCATTTTCATTTTCCATTTCCATTTCCGAAATGATGGAATTTTGGAATTGAAAATCCACAGGCCCTCAAAGGAGCTCCCATAAACCAGTCCAAAATATCCAAACTTTTTTCTTCTTCTTTTCTTTTATGATCTTCTCGTCCTTGTCCCTGCCTCTCTCTCTCTCTCTCTCTCATAAATAACATGCGATGTGATTGTTCATGTGAAATGAAAGGGATGGGTGGATATAATATTGGAGCCATGTGGAAGTAGTCACAGAGACAAAACCCATCATCTGTGAAAATGATTGGAACCATCAACAAAGTGATTTTATGAAATCTGCCCATCATGTGAAAATGGTGGTTGGTTCATCTTTCTGGGATTTCTTAGCCATTTTTCTGTAGTGACTTTACTTTCTTCAATATATAGTGTTGTGGTTTATGATGTTTACCCAAACTTTTTCTTGGTGTTTTGATCAATATCAGAACATTTTGATTTCCAATTGTTTACATGTTTATCTCCGATGACCTCTGTCATCTCTCCCTCTCTCTCTCTCTCTCTGGGTTGGGTTTGTGACAGATCTAATATATGCCAGCGCAAGCTGTTTGGAATAGAAGAGTCCATTGAATTTTCCTCCCTAATTAGGAAGCTGATAAATTAATTCATAATTATAACGGCCTGGGTTAATTTGGCATGAATGGGCGATTGTCTTAGATGGTGACCATATATCAAAGCGTCTTTTGATTTTAATTTTACTTTCCATTTAGTTGAAAATGGTCAGCCCAGAACCAAACAGATTACGAAATAAGGGCTGCGGAAAAAAAAACCAGACTATGAGCACAGCTAATTGGCATTTTCTCATGTTTGATGAGGGGCTCCAATATATAATGGAAGAGATGCCGTTTTATTAATAGCTTAAAATGCTATTTATTTATTTATTTGAAAATTAGCAATAATTGTATTCAATAATTGGGCACATTGACCAAATACTCATAAAGGGTTAATACAAAGATGGATGCACCACAAAGAGTTAATCCACATATAAGAGGATACACACGCAATATCGCACTATCTCCACTAATAACCCTAAAAAACCAAATCCACATCCCAGAGCAAATCATACATAGAATACAATGCCCAAAATTACAAATACAACTACAACTAGCTCTCATAAATAGAATACAAGTAGAGACTAAAACACAAATAAACACCCAACTCACAAAGAGTTGATGGAATTATTGCGACTCAAACAACTACAAATACAAGCCGATCAGTCACCTCGTATGTCTTCAAATTACAAATAGAAACGAAACATAGATCTGAAGTACATTTAAAACAAGAATCTCAAATCTGCAAAAAGAAACAAACAAAACAACCAAGTGCAGACAACAAACCAACCAAAACAACAAAACATCAACTACGGCCAGTTACTGCAGGACATAGGGTAGAATGTTTACTATGACTCA